ATTGATTATGATACTCAAAAAACTATTTATTAATTAATTTATTTATTGATAAATTTAGAGACCAAAAAATTACTATTTGTGGAAGATATAAATTCACATCCATAAACAAATATTGCTGTCAAATTTCTTTCAGATAGTGCACAGAACTGATCTAGTCAAATCTTAATTTAACTAAATTATTGAAATCTGAATCTAAATATTTATAAATCTGACTTCATAAGACTCGCTCGATAGAGAAATCATGCGCCACTAGCTTGAATATAATATATATATCTTTAAGCAGTTAATATTAATGTTAATATTATGTTAATAACCTACAGAACCTAAATTTTAAAATATTACCAGGACATTTAAGAAAGTAAAAATGTGTTTATAATATTCAGTTTGAGGAGTATTTTTGAGATATATTACTTTAAAGTAGAAGCGCTGAAATAATGTGGGTAAAATATTTCTTATTGAAAATTATTATTATCTTATAACAAATATTCTATTTCAATTAGAAAATAAAATATGGTATTTAAGATTAATTATACGTTATTAAAAAAACCTTTTTTACAATTTAGTGTCGTTTTAAAATAAAGATATGAAACTCTTACAAAATAAATACTGTCTTAAATAAAATTTAGTGATATTAAATTTGTAATAAACTAAATTTTAATAATATTTTAATTATAAATATTGAAAAAATTTTAATTTTAATATAGAGGTAGTGAAAAAAAGTAGTGAAGTACAACAACAAAAAATCTTTTTATATTATTTTCATTAATTGAATTTTAGGAGTGGTTTCAAGTATTGCCAAAGAACCATCATCAATGTTCTTGGAATTATTTCTTGTATTTAATTATTCGTAAATAATTTTTTGAGACTGCATGTAACAAGGGTTGAACCTAATTAAACAAATGTTAATTTTAATTAATATTTAATTTGTAATCATTTGTACAGTAAGTAACGTTTTATTGTAAAGATATTTTCTTTTTAATATAAAAAATGGTAATTAAGTTAGATGTTTTTTTTTTTATTTTTAAGAACTTACAACATTATTCGTAAGTCTCAAACTACAAGTTTCTTTCATATTATTTAAACACCTGAATGCTTTTTAAGATAATATTCGTATATGAAAATTTTTAAAGTATTTTAGCTAAACTTCTGTAATTCAAGATACCAGAAAACTCTTCACGCGAAGTAATTTAATCTTCCCTTCGCTTATCAAGAGTATATTATTATTTTGTCCTCCAAAAAGTTTCTTATGAAGTTGAGATTCTTGCTAACTGGATATTCATCTAATGTGTCCAATGTTTTTTACTTTTACTAATTTCATTAACACAAATCATGTATTATTATATATAAAACAAGAACGATGAACAGAAGTATGCATAAAACTAATGCTAATATTCCAGTAAGTTCATCTAACGGAACTGAAACTTGTAACTATGTTACACAATTTCATATAATTACTTTGTTGCTTCAGTTAACTTTATTAAAGCAGATTTATGATTACATTTGTGTAATTTTACATGTAAATAAGTAAAAATACATTCAAGCATAGAGAAATGTGTCTGGTTTGGTAAACAGTCTGGAACTATTACCATGATTAGTGCCTGTGTGCTGGACTAATTGAGTGAGTAATTTAAATTGCATTAATTTTGTTCATTTGGTCACTGATTTAGCCACAAGCTCAATATCCTGTATTTCAAAGTGAATATGAAAATATATTTTATGCATATGAAGTTTTGGAAATGTCACATAGACAGCATTTTATTGTAATTCAATTCATCACTGAAAATTTTTTAGTTGTAAATAAAATGCATAATGCATAAGAAGAGACAATATCAAAGAATCAGTAGCATTATTATTCATAATAGAAAACTATATGAGATTAACATGACAATTCATTTATTTGTTTCGCAATAAACAATAATTTTTAACGAATTGGTTTCACAATTTTAACAGCAAGAATAAGATGTTCCAGTAACGTATTGAATTGACGGAACTAAATTAAATTCATTAGTTGATCAAATAGCTAAAACTCGTTTTGTTCCTTTCAATATATTATTTATCAAAAATAAAAAATTGTTTTTCATTTCTATTTTTAAAACTAACTGATAACCAGAGATTAAAACTCAGATATAGTTCATAAAAGTCCTTGGGGTCAGTCCAATTTAAATCAGGGACAATTTTTGACTGCTACACATATATAAATGAGATGTCGACGCAGTTTAATATTTCTTTAATCTTGGTTCCCCGGTGATTGGAATGTTTTCGGCAATTACAAAGCAGACGAGCTAGTTAGACGTGGTGCTTCAGGACTTCACTGGGAACAATTAAACAACCTGGGCATATCGTTGGCATCATGCGAACTGTTACTGAGTGTTAATGAGTAGATATCACTCTTGTAGTAGATTTACTTACATGCCATTGTATTTTAGGTAACCATGCTAGGAGACTAAATCTCCCTTTCAACCATCACTTAACCGCCTTATCACTCCAGGGGCTTTAATTTTTAAGGATCTACGATCTCTGAATAGCATCATAAGTTTTGCCAAAGGTTCTAAGTGGTTCTAATCTTTGAGTTTTAAATAACACGGCAACACAGTGGGCCCAAATGCCTAAGTGAATCGCCTAACCTTACCGAAGAATGAATTTCTCCGTCCGCAATTTAATGCTATTTTTTTTTTGATTAGTGAACCTATTGGTAAATTTGAACTAAAAAATTCTAGTCATTATATGGTAAAGTACTCTGTGCGGTAAAGTAATCTGTGGACAAAAATAGTTGCAAAGCAAACACAAGAATAATTTTATAGTTACTTGACCAAAAAAACCATAACTAGTTATTAATACTAATGTAATGATTAGAAAAAGTACTAGTTAACAGCACTAAAATCCAGCAAAACAACAATTGAAAACGAACAATAAATTAACTTCCGTATAAATACTTTCAATGAGAAATATAATAAGAATAACAATTTTTGTTCGATATTATAATTCCCAGCCATTTTACATTGAATTTACGCGTATAAAATACATTTCTAATTAATTATAATTCAGTTTCATAAAGTGCTTGTATCATAAAATACTATATTAAATAATCACTTTAATGACCTGATTATAATATAGATGTTCTTTATATTAAGTTTTTTTTTATATTTGATTTCTAGACTAATACCTATATTTCAATATAATCTTTATAGAAAGTTGTTTTATTAAATTTTTTTTTTCTTATTTTTAATTTAGAAATATTACTTTTCACAATTTTCTTTAATGCTTGTTTTTATATAATTCTCTTCTTTTATCATTAATTATTTTATTTAATTAGTTATTTTATTTGATTAGATTATATTTACTTATCTTAATTATGCTACCTAAGAAATGAAATATGTTATCCTTTATTATCAAAAATATTTCAACATTAAATAAACTCATTAAAAACTTAATTTTTTTCTATTTAGAAATAGTCTTAAAAAAATGTTATTAACTAAACTCTTACATTAAAAGTAAAAAATATTGTACAAATCTGAACTTAAAATAAATAACATTATTTACCTGCAGTACAGTTGCTTTACAAGTGAACTTCATCCGATTGCCTTCAAGTGGTTAGAATAAATTATACTTAAAAACAAATATTAAATTTATTTATTTGTTTAGGCTTTTAACAAGTCTTAATTATAATGCTAAAATTATAAAATATATGGGTTTCTATTTGAATGATTGTATACGAAGAAAAAAAGCCTAAATAAATCCTGTATAAAAACTACTTAGATATTACGTCCATTTTTACAAAAAAAGGGGGAAGTTGATTTTACTCCAGTAGTTATTTTATAAATTAATTATTTATTTACTTTTCAATAATCCAATTCTCTAAGGAATATTAAAACTTTTGTTGAATGAAAATAAAGTCAAAAAAATTTAGTTCCTATGAATCCAAGTCATGGATGTTGCAGAAGCCTCCCTATTTTTACACAAACAGAAAAGTTATATTAGAAATTAAATTGCTTGCCAAAGATAGAGAAAGAAGAATATTACCCGAACTGCCGCCAAAATCGAGTTTTATAGGCCGCCAAAGGTATGGCCTTTAGTTAACGCAGCGAATTCTCTTTTATGATCTCCATGGTCTCAAAACGCGTTCCTCGCAATGGCAATTTGAGTCGGGGGAACGGAGGAAGAGGATAAAGTCACACGGGGCCATATCTGGAGAGAACGGTGCTTGGTTGGTGAAGTTTTTGGTGGAGTTTTTGGTCAAAAACTACAACACACCCAACGTTAAGTGAGCCGGTGCGTTATCGTGGTGTGAATTCCATGAGTTTTCCTTCCATAATTCTGGCCTCTTTCTGGCCTCGAATGTTCTTACGCAAACGACGCGTAACGGCAAAATAATACTCCTTATTGACCGTTTGACCGTCTGGAAGGAATTCATAGTGCACCACACCACGAATATTGAAGAAAACAATCAGCATAACCTTGATTTTGGACCGACTTTGGCGTTCTTTTTTCGGTTTCGGCTCACCTTCAAAGCACCATTCCGTCGATTGTTGTTTGGTGGGCATGTCAAATTCATAGACCCATGTCTCATCGCCAGTTATGATGCGTTCGATGAATGTGGGGCCACTATCTGTGTTGGAAATCATCTCTTTGGCCACATCACGACGACGTTTTTTTTGAATGAAATTCAACTAAAAATCACCACACGAAAAATTTTCGACTTCTTTGTATAGACGCCAAACAAAAACTTTGACAGAATGTGTATAATAGCGTTGCCAGCGTGAAAATAAAAAAAATTTACCGATTGGATAAGCGCGGAAATTCAAAAAAAGAACGAATTCTTTCTTTTTTGATCACAAGGTATAAAACCAAATTAATCATATTTTTATATATCTGCAATAAAAGTAACGAAAAAATACTCTGCTAACTGAATTCAAAATTTATTTAAAAAAAACAATTTTATTAAAAAAACAATAATACAAAATAATACAAAATACAAAAAAATCCGAACGAAAAATAAAATGTTAAAGAGAATAACTCTTTTTAATAAAAACTGTTAAATTTAGGACGACCGAGAAGAAACAATTTTTTAAACGATAAAGAAAGTTCCTCCACATCGAACTAATTTGAGTATTGCCATTATATTCAGATGAGTATTCAATGAATTTAGATCTGCCTCTATATGCAGCACGGCTTGTGGAAGGTGCCTCCTCTTCATTTCTTCGCGTCTTACTGCTTCTTTTGAAATTTCTATTTCTTTTTGTGTGGGGCACTTTCCCAAAATTTATATTTGTAGCGCATATTAATTCGGATGATTTATTATTATAGTTATAATTATTAGAAAACTTACCTACAACCTCACTTTGTTCTTGACATCTTTTATTCCTCTTAGATTTTGCAGTCATCAACTTGTTTGCATTGCCATTTGAAGAAGAATTTGTAGGAAATTGTTCTTTACTAGAAAGTGAGCTAGAAATACCAACAGTGTTTCTTTTGGAGAGATTTTTTCGAGTTCCTGAATAACCGTTTTTATTATTAGTTGAAATCAAATTTTTTCGTAAACGTAAGTTATATCTATTAGTATTAATATTTTCGGCCTTTGGTTTTGCAAGTTGTTCCTTGTGTTTTTTAGTTGTTTTGTTTGATAGATTATCAGAATCTGCAGAGGGGTTAACCGAGTCTGAAATACTGATATTTGGAAGTATCAAGCTTTTATGAGCTTTTGATAAATTCAAGATACAACCGCGACGTTTTCTTGAAAGAACAATTTTTTTATTCGTTATTTGTCTATTCTTATCATTTCCGTAGAGTCTCTTGTTTTGGATCCCTTTTAAATTATTTTGTATTCCACACTTTCTGGAGTCGTCTTCAATGAACTTACTTTTCATTCTTGTTGTCACCTTTTTTTGTATTGTATTTTCGTTATTTAAGTTTTCTCTTGAGCATCCGGGGATGTTATCGTCCTCATTGTTATATTTTTTGTAAGAAATATATTTGCAAATTTTTTTATTTGTATCTGAGTTAGTGGTTATTCCTTTTACTATTTTTTTTCTATTGAATGAAGGTTGTTTCATATTATTTTTTTGGTTTTTCTTCTTCTTATCATCCAATAAGTCAGATACATTATCTTCACATATGTTTTGTAAAGAATTTTTAACTGTATCCGACATAAAATAGTAACCATTTTGATTAAGTATTTCACCATTTTCTAAACAGTGCTGCATTGCTTTACTGACGACATTTTTAATAGAGCACAGTCTTTTTCGTGTCTTCTTAGCAATGTAACCAGCTATGTCATCGAACGATGCTGGGTGTTGTATGGCGATCAATGCTTCTGTGATATATTCTTTAAAGTTCATTTCTGTTTTCATTGAATACTATGTAATTATATGGAATAGCACTGGAGAAAAGAAATTATTTTGAGTTTTAATTTAAATGTCGTATGTTGATAGAAAATGATACAAGGCCAACTGGAGTTTAAATATTTTAAAACATTTGGTATTTCCATTTTCAACAGACATACATAGAGATCTTAGGATTGACTCAGTGAAAAAATTTATCAGAGACAGAGCTCTAAAATTATTCACTAAAGTTGATACTTAACCCCGCCCTAACAATCCTCAAGTCCACTTCTGGACTCTCAGGAAGATATGCTGATTTAAGGTCCGTCATCAACTAAAAGACAAATAAATGATATGCTTTCTTAGCCTAGTTAAAGCCTAGTGTGGGGTAGAGATAAGCCCCCAGCCATTATAGAGTAAAAGTGCGTAATAGCACTAACTTAAGAAGAAGAATCAAGAAGAAGGTATTTCCATTTAATTAATTTAACTGAATATATATTATTGAACGATTTTGTTAATTGATTATAATTAAAATACAATTCAGAAGTATATTTATCTGTATATTTGAATTTTATATGTGTATATATTTCTTTATTCTGTGCGGATTGCAGTTACAATGCCTGCAGTTTTCGAATCTTAAGTCTTACAGTAATGTTAATAATTGTAGTTTTGATTGTAATTTTTTTTGGAGATACAAGCTGTATGATTTTGCATATATATCAATCTGAAGACACGACAAAAGAAATATTTGCTTCACATATATAAATTTCTTCACTCTAATGAACCTGGGTAGTTCCCAGGCGAAAAACGTAAGTGGGAACTTTCAGAGGACTGGACTAATGACTTTCTGAATATCTGTTGATATTGTTGCCTCTCGTTAAACACATATAGAAGGAGGGAGACTTGGATGTATTTTTTAGTTATATTTAGTTTATTTTTTATTTATGTTTAGTCATTTTTAGATATTTCTTAGTTAATCTTAATTATTGTATAGTTATTAATTATTTTTTATTATATCTTAATTATATTTAATTTTTAGTTAAATTTTTTAGTTAATTCTTTGGGTTATGTGTTATTTTTAGTTAATCTTATAGTTATTTTTAGTTTTATAAATAGTCATTACTTTTAGCTACATATAAAGTTATCCGTAGTTTGTTTTTATTCTTCATTTCAATTTTATATTTCTATTTTTATATTTAAATATTTCCATTTTATATTTCCATTTCTTACACACTCATTTTTATAATTTTATTTTACTTTTTTCACACTTTCTTCACATTTTTAGATATTTATCCATATACTTATCAGTTTGCAAATGGGAGTATAGTATGCCATCACAAATATTATAGTTATGTAGAGTTAAGTATATACCTTTTTTGAAATTTTCTCCTGTGACTAGCCTCATCGTATCTGGGTATTGTCATTATACCCGGGCATGGGCCTTTAACCATGTAAGTGGTTATGGAGCCATGACAGTGACAAAGCTTTAGTAAGTAGATAATTGGAGGTTTCGAAACTAAAATATACAAATTCAGACAAGTGAATGGTTGGTACAAGTTCTATATTAGAAGTTTAGAAGTTTAGCTTTTGCCGTCTGATATCCAGTGTTAAGGAGATAATATTTAATAAGGTAAATAAGATTTTCAACTTACGAAAAAATATTGTGCGTTCAAAAATTTTACATTTTCATTAAAGAAAATGTATATAAGAGACTTGAAAGGTGTTAGAGTTCCGTTCGGATCTTTTAATATTTCTAAAGAAATATTTAATAAAAATTAATTTCTTTAGAAAAAATTAATAAACTTTCATGAAGTAAAACCAAAGCGTAAAGTAAGTGATGAGTTCCCTCACAATAGTGCTAAGCATGAGGAAAACAAATCAGATGAAATATTTTCATAAAAAATTATGCTTCTTTAATGAATAAATAAAGTAACGAATTAAACAAAAGTTTTTATTTCCTGGAAGCAATCGATAATAATTTTTTTTCACCGAATCCTCCTATAAAAAATGTTTACATAAAATAATTTTTTGTTTTTGTTTCAAGCAATGGACTTCATTAATTATTTCTTATTTGTTGTATCTCCAACCATTAAGGTAAATAGAATATATTTGCAAATTTTTATGAAACAAAATTTTAATTTCTTAATTTATATAAATTTTGTGTCTTAAATGAAAAGATATTAAAATTTCTTTTTTATTTTATGTTAATTAAGCGCGTTAAATTTGCACAAATTTAATTTTTACTTTGATGTTGACGAAAAAATTACATATAACAAAAAAAATTATTTTTCTTCTTGTTATAAACTAGGGTGGATAAAATGTATCCTTCGCAGTTACCTAATAAGGATGTTGTCCCTTAAACGCCTCAAGCTTATCTTAACATTTGCGTTATTAAAAATTTACTTGTAGATTTTTGGACTCATAGCGAGTAAAAAATGAATCAATTAAATTTAGCTGAAAGGAAATTATGGTTTACAGGGACATTGTGCTTATTAAAGTCAGAAAGCTCAACAAAATTTGTAACAAAATAAAGCTGTTAGGTAAACTTGGTACATACAAATATATTCTTTTAGTTATAAAAGCACATCTGACATTGTCAGCAGTTTTTAGAGATGTCATAAATAAATGAAATACATTGTATACTCATAAATGGGTAATTACCAAATATATTGAATATTCTATAATTCATTGTTGGTATAAAAGGTTTTTATTTATCAATTCAAATCGGTTGTTTATATTAGACCATCACGAATTGTAGGTTAAAGTTTTTGAAAAACTCGACTTATTCGAAAACTTCTTATTGAAATTTATACCTGACTACGGTTTGAGAAGAACATTAGTAATCATTACTTTAATCAGTCTTATGTTGAGATTTTTCCGAGTCAGCTCAACTGAGCATTCACTCTTTTTTAGCTGGAGGGTTTCTACAGAGTCTTTCCCTTCTCTTTGACTAATTTATGTATTCCTCACAAGCATCGCTGATTATTTGATGACTGCTCTAAGATGTGCATAAGGCTAGTAATTATTGTGAAATTAGATAGTGATACCAACAACCTTGAAAACTCTTTATAGTTATATCTGCGTACAAACAGTGCAACAACAGACATCAAAATAAGTTGGAATTTATTAAAGGACATACAGGATTAAAAAAAAATACAGAAAGTCTATTTTTTGTAACGTACAAAGGCTTAATTTTTAACCGTAATAATACATAATTTGTTTGAAGATTAAAATTGAAAATTATATTAGGAGTTTACTTATAATATAATAGAATTTAGTTGGCAATATTTAGGTTTTGAGTTGGGTATATGTATCCGAAGAAATACTCTTTTTAAAAAGAGATATTTGTAAATAAGAAATAAGTCAAATTAACTTTTGCAGAGCGAAAAAAATAATTTTTTATTTAATTATTAAAATTACTTTCAAATTGTATTTATGTTTTTCCTGAAATTTCTGCAAATATTTGATTTAAAACTTTCAATAACTTGCCAAAGAATCTTTTGATATAAAATATATAATTGATATATAATTGTATGTAAACATAATAAAAATTTATGAAAACATTAAGTGATTAACAATTTTGCAGAAAATGTGCAATTTTTAATACTTAAAATTTTTGCAAAACTTTGTAAATTTAAAATGGAAAAAATATTCAAAAAATTAAAAAAATTGGAAAAAATTAAAAAAAATAAATTTTAAAATTTAAACAAGCAAACAAAACCGAAATAAATTCTTTAAAGAAACAATATTTTCTGTCTGCACTTGTACATAATTTTGAAATGTTTTATTTATTTACTTTTGAGAGTAATAAAAATTTCTTTTCTTCTAAGAAAGTTAACACGTGGGTTAAACATATTTTACATACATTTATTCGATAATAACAAAACAAAGCAAATGCCATAGAATTAATTTTTTATAAGACTTATATATATTTATATATATATATTAAAAAGTTGGAGTCTTAAAAAACAAAAAAAAGAAATTTTTATTTTCCAAAAATTTAAAGTTCGTAAGCCATATAATTATTAATATAATTAATAATATGTTAATAATTTAATTTGAATTAAAATATAATTAGATTTTTATTTTTTGTTTTGCTTTTGTTAATTAGTTAATTAAATAAATCTATGCAATTGTTTCATTCAAATAGAAATAACCATAAATTTCGGTACTTAATTAGCTTCACTAATTCAATAATTATGTGAATACAATGTGGCTAATTAAAGGTTTAATAATACGAAATTATTAATACAATTTCAATAAAATTTGTTGGCATTAATTTTAATTTCAGCGAATTAACCCAATGTGCAATGGTGCGTATGAGTGATTTAAAACATTTGAGTAGGCTTGAGCAAGTTTTATTGCAAATTTGTTTGTTGATTTTTTCTTCGAAGAAATATCAAATAGAAATTGTTTGAAATTTGTTTGAAATTTGTTTATTTGTATAGGATCATTACTTTTGAAGTAGACTAAGAAATTGTATTATAATGAGGGTGGTGATGTTTTCGAAATGATAAATCAGTTTTATGAAGTGGTCGTAAAAAGAAAAGTTTTCTTAAGGATATTTACCATATTTTTAATAAGCTAGCTACAATTAATTTTAAAGAGTTTAAGAATGGTGAAAAGAAATTCTCAGTTTTTTGTGCTTAACA